TCAACGGTCCTATTGTCAGCGCTGAATCAATTTCAGAAGACGAGACCACTGGCCCAAAATCCCACCTACAGGCTGAAATGCTAGGTTAAAGGGGACACCCTGACATTAGCTATTATTTCGGAGACCTGCTTAGCTGGAGATATATTAGGCAAAGACTAGGAACTATACAGTTAATGATAATGAGAGCCCAGTACTGCCAGTTTAGAGATGACCTTAAACTGTAAGAGCCCAAGATTGGCCTCTTCAGGTACATGGAAAGGGGGAAATGAAGAGTTTAAGTTAGCCTGGGTATAGTTAGCCTGAGTAAAGAGCCATCTTGACTGGGAGCTGAATTCTCTACACTTCTCTACTGCTGCATCAGTGAGACTTGGGTCCTGAGTTCGATTGCTCTCATAATAAAGCTCTCTTGCTATTGCATTAAGTCGTCTCCTGGTAGTCTCTGAGGGTCCCGTGAACCTGGCATTACAACAGGAAGAGATGAGTCTAGAAAACATCTGAAGCACTGGGAAGAAAAGGAGGTTGGCTCAGAGGACCTCTCAACCATCAAGGCCTGGAGCCATGGAGTAAAGTGAAAGCAGCAGATGACCTATTCCCTGAAATAGGGAGCTAACAAGACTACCCAGAGAGACCACAAGCCCATAGTTTTCTATCATCATCTCCTGGTACAGGGTTCTCTGAGCTGGAGCCAGCTGTACCCACTCCTCTTGGGTAAAAATTACAGCCACATCTTCAAAGGTGAAAGCTACCTGAAAAGTCACTATATATATTAGCATTGGTCCCAGGCTTTGTTCAAAGGGAACAGAGATTAAGGCCCAAACTACACAGCACTTCTTGAAGGCTATGCTGTTTTCTGGCTCGCAAAGGGAGAGATGCTCTCTGGGGCATGTAATGGCAGGTTTTAGTCAACAACTTGACCCAATCCAGAATCACCTAGAAGACAGTCTCAATGAGCGACTGTCTAGATCAGGGTGGCCCGTAGGCATGTCTGTGACATTGTCTTGATCATGTTAAGTAAGGATGGAAAGATCCAACCTAAAAGTGGTTGACACCATTCCCTGGGTTTGGGTACCAGACTGTATAAAAAGGAGAAAGTGGAGTCACTGAGTTGGCTGAGTAGGCAAAGGCACTTGGGGCCAAGCTGAACAATTTGATCTTGCCCATGGGACCTTACATAGCAAAAGGCAAGAACCCATAGTTGTCTCCTCATCTCCAAATGAAAGCCCATAGGTACATACACTAAGTAAATAAATATGTGTAACCTTAAAATAAATACAAGTAAGTACTGGGTGTGACAGCTCACACCTTTAATCTAAGCATTTCAAGAAGCAGAGCCAGGTGGGTCTCTGTGAGCTCCAGGCTTGCAAGGGCTACATGGGGAAACCCTGCCTCCAAAGAAACGAACAGAAGATGAGAGGTGCACAAGCAGGCATGCATCTGTTGCTCTCCCTTTCTGGCCATGAACATGCTGTTACCAGTTCTCTCAGGCTCCCACTTCCATGACTTCCCTACCACAATAGGCCTGGAATTGTGAGACAAATTACACCCTTTCTTCCTTCAAATGCTTTTGTCAGGCAATCTTATCACAACAATAGGAAACTAAGCTAAAACAGGGCATAATGTGTCAGTGTGAAGGGCAGAAGCCTCCTATGCAGGAGCTCTTCAAAAGTAGCAAACAAAGAACACACAAACTGTTGGTTGTGAGAAGGGTTCTGTGTGGGACATCACAGGGATGACAAAATAAGGACGACAATGGAACCAATACCAATAATGTTAAGAACAGTAATTCTTGAGCTTCACTGGTCCAGCTACTTTCCTACCCATGCTGAATGCTTCACAAGTTCTCAGTTCTGAAGTCAGTCTCCTAAATTTTCAATCCAAGCTCCTGAAACTACCACTGGACATCTGTGCAACATTAGGTACCTGACTTCATCTCTGAGCCTCCATTTCCAGAGCAATACAGTAATTCTCACTTCATGGACAACAGCTATTGGGAAGGAAGAAGCAGGAAAACATAGTAAACAGGGGTAAAAAGAAATAGCCAGATGATTGAGATGAGATTTTTGAAAGATAAAACATACCACACTTAACTGGTTTAGTTTCTGCTATCTAATATAGAGTCTATGGCAAATACTACTGGTCTCCTCTCAGGTCACTGACTTGAGCTAAAAGATGACCACAGTCTGTTCATTTCTGTTAAGGTCACAAGTAGTCCAAGAGGGCCTCAAACTTGCTCTGGCCCAGGGCTGACCTTGAACCCCTGATACTCTTGCTTCTTCTGTCTCTCCAGTACTAGGGCTACAGGAATACCTCTGTAGTACAGGGATACAGGAATAAGGAGTGCTATTTGAACAAGTGAGATGGTTTAGAGAGTAAAAGTACTTTTCCACAAGCCAGACCACCTGAGTTCCAGCCCCAAAACCCATATAAAAGAAGGAGAGAACCAATTCCTGAAAATTGTCCTTTGGGGCTAGAAAGATGGCTCAGAGGTTAACAGCACTGCCTGTTCTTCCAAAGATCCTGAGTTCAATTCCTAGCAATCACCTGATGGTGTTTTGCCAGGTTCATAGGACCCTCAGAAACCACCAGGAGACGACTCATTGCAGTTGCAAGAGAGCTTTATTACGAGAGCAATCGAACTCGGGACCCAAGTCTCACTGACGCAGCAATAGAGAAGTGGGACCCCGAGCTCTGAGTGAACAGGATTTTTAAAGGGAAAGTCTGTGAGCAGGGCATTTCCATGGCAGCAAGCAGGGGGGCACAAGCCTTGATGTTACAGACTTGGGTGAAGTTTAGCAGGGCGGGGTGACCTTTTCTGAGGTACACAATCACAATGGCTAAGGCATATAATCACAATGGCTATTTTTCTAAACCATATTTGAAACATTGGGGAGAATTTTCCCACCCGATTTCCAACCGATTCCCATTGATTATTGCCAGGGAGTTTGTGTCTGTTTTCTATGAAGCATTTATTCTGTATTATTTCCTGGAGGCTGTTGCTAGGAGAGTTAACTTTGTTTCTGCCGGGTGTACATAATAGTTCCTGGTACCTGAATTCAGTTCTAAGGCAAGATCTTTATTTCAAAATGGAGTTATATTCGGGCTAACTTAAACTCTTCAATGGCTCAAGACAATCTATAATGAGATCTGATGCCCTCTTCTGGAGTGTAGGTATACATGCAGGCAGAATACTGTATGCATAATAAATAAATGTATGAAAAAAATGTCCTTTGATCTCCACACTCTCCAGACACTGCTTGCACATGAGTGGACCCACAAACATTTAGAGCACACAAATGTTAAAGTTAACAAAATTTTAAGCTATTTATTTTTATTTTATATGCATTGCTGTTTTTCCTGCACGTGTGTCTGTGTGAAGGTGTCAGATCCCTTGAACCTGGAGTTACAGATAGTTGTCTGCTGTCATATGGGTGCTGGGAATTGAAACTTGAGCCCGCTGGAAGAGCAGCCAGTGCTCCTGACCACTGAGCCATCTCTCCAGCCCCAAATTTATTTTTTTAATTGGCTTCTGGGAGGCTGGAAAGATGGCTCAGAAGTTAAGAGCACTGGCTGTTCTTCCAAAGGTCCTGAGTTCAATTCCCAGCAACCACACAGTGGCTCATAACCATCGATAATGAGATCTGGTGCCCTCTTCTGGCATGCAGGCATATACACAGACAGAATATTGTAGAAATAATAAATAAATAAATAATTTTTAGAAAGTGACTTCTGAGCGAAAATGTTACAAAGAATGGTCCTGCAGAGATATTAGGATTGTCTTGAGGCAGAGAGCTGAGGCAGAGTAAACTGCAAAGGTAAAAGCTAGAGAAGTGAAGGACATTTGGGGTCAGGTTGGTACACCCAAGTAGCAGTGAGCCAGAAAGGGAAACAAGATCATAAATGGTCAACCAGAAGACCATACCCAATTGGATTATGAGTTGGTGAAAGCCCTTAGTCAGGAACATCGTTCACTGGACACCATGTGGTGTCCAGGGCTTGCCTGTGCCCACCTCTTACTCCCCAGGCCACATAGGAGTTCAGCTCAGACTCTCAGTGGGTGTGGGCTGAACTGTCCAGCTATGACATCTATGCAGGGGACACAGTAGGGAGGGATGCGCCCCTTATTTAGCCCTTTCATTTGTCAAGCAAGCCACATGACTCATGTGCTATGCCTTCTGGGTAACGTAGTTCTTTGTTGCTGACAACAATCCTGCCACCACCCAAAGTGCTTTTCTTAATCTTTGCCTGAAACAGAGCACAGACCCAGTGTGGTGTCTTAGACATACCTATTATTATTGTTGTTTGAAGTTGTTTTCATTTCTAAGACAATCTCGGTGAGTTACCTGGGTTGTCCTTAAACTGAAATTGTCCTGCCTCAGCTTTCTGAATACTTAAGATAGTAGGCCTGGGTCACCAGGTCTGGCTTCACCCCACCCCAGGAAAAATGCACAGAGCTCAGGATGATTCAGGCACTTGGTGGGACTGGCATTCTCTATGCAAAAAAATAGGCTGTAGTGTGTGTGTGTGTGTGTGTGTGTGTGTGTCTGGAATCTTGGACAAAATTCAGGGCAAATATAGGAGAAACTGGGTGCCCTACAGGACACCTGACTCCTGCACATATATTATCCCTCCCTATGCCCCACTTTTCAATTACTCATTTTGTATGGGTGTGAGCATGAGTGTGCCTCCATCCATGAGTGGGAGCGCAGGGACTGAGTTTGATCCCCAGCAGCCTGGTATAAGCTGGGCACATTGCAGTACATCTGAAATCTCCACACTGGGGAGCTAGAGACAGGAGGGTAACTGTGCTTCACTGACCTGCCAGTCCAGTCCAACCAGTGAGTTTCATGTTCAGTTCAGAGACCTACCAACTCAAACAATGAGATGGAGAGCATCTGAGGAAAATACCTCTGTGAACCCCTGGTCTCCACCACACACACAAGACAAAAGACTCTACCCACATGACATACTAACTCACACAACCAAAAAGATTAACATTGGATTAATGAGCTTTAATTAGCATCTTAAAAGAGAAAACAAGCAAAACAGGTGAGGTAACAAGCAGAACCTGGAGGGCTCCCTGAAGAGACACATAGAGATAGAGGCAGGCAGGGCTCAGGAAGCCATCTGAGCACAGGGAGGCAGCACCCGACGAGAGTGCTCCTGGACCCAGGGGTGCTTCAGGACCTGGGCTAGCGTCAGCCGATCTGAGGGATGGTACCTAAGAAGCTTGGAGATCAAGTCCTGGGCCCCCATAGGCACTGATGGAGGAAACCGAAAATCCACCTAATGAAGCCGGGGAAGAAGAAGGAGAATCTAGTTAATCTCTTTGGTTAATTTTCTCCCTGTTCTGTAAGTCTCTCTGAGGCACCTTGCTGCCTAGTAGCAAATAAACTTTTGTACACAGCCCAATCCCCCCAGAGGCCATCACTGTCTGGTTCCCTGGTAAATGCCCCTTGTGTGTGGCCACTCACCTTGAGGATGCGTCTGTATGTCTCACTGTGAGTGCTGCTCTCAAAGGGTGGAGTTCCCACCAGCAGCTCATAGCAGAGCACCCCAATGCACCACAGATCCACCTTCTCATCATACGTTCTCGCCTCAATCATTTCTGGGGGCAAGTAGTCCAGAGTCCCACACATCGTCTTTCTCCTAGAGCAGGACACAGAAGGGAGCACTATGCATGGGCTCAGAATGAGGGAAATCCTCCCTGTTCAGCTTCTGAGGAGACGGGAAACCTAGGGACGCCCTAAAGAGTCCTCTCCTAAGCAGAGGTGTAGGGGTCAGAAACACCAGGTGTTAATGGGGATCAAGATTCAGAGAGGCTGTGGGAGGTGACACGTGGGTAGAACACTTGCTGTGAAAGCCCTGAGGACCTGAGTTCTATCCCCAGAACCCACATAAAGCTGGTGCATGTCTGTAGTCCTAGCACTCCTACAGTGGACTGGGAGGCAGAGGAGAACCCCTGGAAACCTGCAGACCATCTAGCCAACTATGAAGTAGCAAACAAGGCACCTGTCTCAATAAGGCAGGGGGTGAGGATATACCCCCCACACACATACACACAAACATGGCAAATGCGTGCCTGCCCTCACACAAGTGAACACACACATGTCTAAACACAGAGATTTTTTTACTATCATTCAGAAAAGCAGGCGGGTATAGCCACTCACATCTCCTATCCTGGCACCTGAGAAAGCTGAGCTAGGAAGGGAGTGCTATGTACTTGAATGTGCTAGAATGAATGCCAGGACAGGCAGGGCTGCAATGTGAGAGCTTTTCAGTCAATCAATCAGAGAAGGCTGGACTGGCGAATGGATTCTGTGGTGAAGAGCACTGGCTGCATGGATTTCCTGGCACAAACCTGGCAGCTTACAACCATCTACAATTCTAGTCCAGGGGATCTGATGCCCTCTTCCGGCTTCTAAGAGCCCCAGGCATGAAAAATGGTGTACAGGTTCTACATGGAGGCAAATCATCCATACATGTGACATGAAAATTAACAAAAACAGAACTACCTCAGAGTAGGCAAGCACTATAAGGGAAAACACACTAACCCCATGTTTCAGAATTATTCAGCCAGGTGAGATAGGAAGATTGCTATCATTTGAGGCCTGCCAGCTCTGCAGAGTATGGAAGATTTAGATCATAACAGTTGTTTATCAAGAGGTACCAAGCAAATGAGCTTATCTACATGGAAAATGTCATTCCTGCAAGACTTACATGGAATCTTATTGGTAAATGAAAATACTACTAAAGACTAGAAAAGCTCTGGTTAGTCCCTGTTAGTGTGTGTGTGTGTACATGACTACACACACTAACAGAGACAGAGGAGGACATTCAGTGTCTTTATTGCTCTCCACTTTATTCCATTAAGGCAAGGTCTCTCAGTAAACCTAATCCAGGCATTTCTGCCAGGCTGCATAGCCAGCTTCCAGGATCTGCCTGTCTCTACCCTTCAATGCAGGATTAAATGAATTTGCAGCTATGCTCAATTTATTTATTTATTTGTTTGTTTTGTTTTTTTTTTTATTTTTCAAGACAGGGTTTCTCTGTGTAGACCTGGCTGTCCTGGACTCACTTTGTAGATCAGGCTGGTCTTGAATTCATAGAGATCTACCTTCCTCTGCCTCCTGAGTGCTGGGATTTACATGTGTGTGTCACTGGGCCCGGATATGCCCCAATTTTTATACAGGTGCTTTCAATCTAAACTTAGGTTTTTGTGCTTACAAAGGAAGGGCTCTTATCTACTGAGTCATCACCCCACCCAATTCTTTTAATTTGCAAATACATTTTCAATATATGTATGTTGGAAAGATCTGTGTTTTAATACAAGCCCCAGTTTGTATCTGAGTCTTAACATGTGAGATAAACTCACTAAGGGAAGGCCTCAATGGTGTGTGTGGCCCACCCACAACCCACCTGACCTACCTGAGAGACGGGGTATGCACAGACCAACCGAAGTCTGCAATCTTCACCTCGCCCCTGAGGCCCAGTAGGAGATTCTCTGGTTTGATGTCCCTGTGAATCACCTTATTCTCATGGCAGTGGGTCAGGGCATCAGCCAACTCCTCCATGATCTGTGGGAACAAAAGCTATCTGGTAGGGGAAGACTTTTCACAGCTTCCCTGTGAGGTAGAACAGGCATTGTGAATTTTAAGACTACAGTGCAATCTTACAACTCCACTATAATTCTATTATTTCTTTCTGTGTACACACTTGCATATGTGGATCATAGAGAAGAATCTTCAGTGTGGCTCCTTATTGTCCATTCATCTTGTTTGTTTGTTTGTTTGTTTGTTTTCTAGCTTTTTGCTTTTTTGTTGTTTTGGTTTGGTTTTGGTTTTTGAGACAGGGTTTGTCTATGTAGCCCTGACTGTCCTGGAACAATCTGGTGTAGACCAGATTGGTTTTGAACTCACAGAGATCCTCCTGAATGCTGGGATTAAAGGTGTGAGCCATCACTGCCTGGATCTTTGTTCTTTTTAACACAGGGTCTCATGGTATAGCCCAGATAGCCTTGAACTCATGAGATCCGCCTGCTTCTGCCTGCCCGAGTGCAGGATTAAATGTATGCATCACCATGCTCTCCTGGATTCCCCAATCTCTTTAAATGGCAACATGGTTATAATTTTGCATAGACACTAAAATAGGCAGGTTTTCCCAGTGGACTTGGCAGAACAAGCAGCCAGACACAGAACCTGTACTGAGCCAATCACATCATTCCCAATCACATCAGGGATTGGAGGCTAAAAGAATCAATACTTTTGATGTCCAGTGGAACAATGGCTGCTATGACTTTCTCCTCAGTGCCCTACAAATTTCTAGGTAACTTTCATTTTTTTTGATACATATATCGTTCCAAGTCAGCCAAGACTACATAGTGAGACCCCCCACACACACACACTTTCTCTCTCTCTCTCTCTCACACACACACACACAGAATCTAATTTGTCAATACTGATATTCTGGAACTACACTGGGGATCAAACCCAGAGTAATACATATACTAGGCAAGAACTGAACTACCAAGTTACATTTTGAAACCCCAGGAAAAAAAAAAAAAAAAAAAAGAAAGAAAGAAAAAGCTAATAGAATCAGAAGATGGGTCTGATGGCACATGCTTGTCATCCCAGCACTTTGGTGACTGCAAGTTCAAGGCCAACCTGGGTTCTACAGAGTTCCAAGTCATTCTCAGCTATTTAGAAAGACCCAGTGCCTCAGGAAAAACTACAGCACCATGAGCCAGGCATGGTGCCTATGTCTAAGCTCAGCATTTATGAGGCTCAACCAAGATTTTAACACATTTCAGATAATCTTGGAAATTCTGTGGCAGTCTGGGCTAGCCTGGCCTATGTAACGAGATTCCCCCAACTCAGACAAAAAGGGATGGAGGCCAACAAGATGTCTCTGTGGGAGCTTGCTGTTCAAGCCTGGTGACCTGAGTTCCATCCCCGTTACCCACATAAGGGTAGAGGGAGAAGAGACTCCTCCGTCCAAGCTGTCTTCTGACTTCTGCATGTGCACGTGCATGCTCCCCCAACACAGTAACTGTCATCATGGCAACGTCGACCCTCCCGGAGCCTCCCCTCACCGTGGCTGTGCGCTGCTCATCTAACTTCTGGTTTCTCTGAAGCTCCTTATAGAGCTCACCCCGGGGAGCATATTCCAGAATTAAGTACACCCGGCGAGCATCGTGGAAGTAGTTGTACAGGCGCAGGATATTGGGGTGACTGAAAGAGGAAGGAAGGGTCAATGCAGGCAAGATGCCACAGCATTAGAGACACTCGTTGCAAAGTTTGCCAAGCTGAGTTCCATCCCCAGACTCCGTTTGTGGAAGGAAAGAACCAATGCCTACAAGTTGTCCTCCACATATGGGCTGTGATTCGCAAGTGCCTTTGTGCCACCCCAATACCTAATTAAATAAAAATGCTGGAAAGTGGCAGTGCAGGACTTTAATCCCAGCACTCCAGAGGCAGATGCGATGAATCTCGGGGTTTGAGACCAGCTTGATCTACAGACAGCCAGTGACAGTCCCACACACACAGATCATGCTTACTGTAAATGCGACTGGATCTCCACCTCCCTTCGAAGCTGGTGCTCCAATCCCTCCTTCTCTATCTGGGACTTGAAGAGGACCTTTAGGGCCACAATGAAATGGTTTTCCTTCAACCGAGCCAGGTACACATTACCAAATTTCCCCTTACCCAGTGGCCGCCCTATTTCAAAGTCATCGATGGTGAAATGCCTGCTAAACAAAAAGCAGAGATGACCTCATCTCAGAGACTAGAAAGAGTTTGGGATTCCCAACTGCTCCCCTTCCTCATTTACTCTGCTCAAAACCCCAGCCCTGGGTAGTCCATGGGGAAATAGCATTTTGGATTTATTAGCCAATGCCCCACTTGCCCAGCTTGCTCTTCTGCTTCTAGATACCGAGGCAAGGCACTCACCTGATTGAAGTGCTGGACTCCATCTGGCCAGAGGGTAAAAAAAGAGGAAGGAAAATGGCTGTGGCAATACACACTGGCAGTCCTGATCTGTGGAGACAGGAGGATCACAAGTTCAAAGTCATCCTCTACTTCACAGCAACATTGAGATCCACTTTGAGGCTACAGAGACCCTGTCAGAGATTGAGGGAAGGTGGAAGAGGGAGAGGATCTCTTTTTGTTCCCCTCTATCTTTCTTTTTCTCTATCTTTCTCTCTTATCCATTCATCTATTGGGGATCCTCGTTTAATGGTCTAAGTGCTCTCTTACATTCAGTATTTGCATTCTCTACGCCAAGATCAGTATCAACATTTGTCTGGTCTCAGGGTCTGGTACAGCTCTATTTAGAGCTGAACCCAACCTCTGTAAGACATTGGTGAAGGCTTCTCCAGGGTCTTGAATTACCTTAGAAAATGAGGTGGTTGTTTTAGCAGAATCCTCAACCATGTCCCATGATCTTAATGCTGTAACACAACATTGTTCAATCACTACATCAGATTGAATTTGTGTTTGTAAATCAGCATAATAGCCTTCACCGAGCAGCTGGTGAAACATTTATCCCTCTTACTATATTTTGTTGTTCTATTTTTGTGGCTTTATTTCTACACCACGATAACCACTGTAACTGCTGGCCAGCTTCTAACACACCACTCCCTTCCAATCTTGGGGGATAAGTCTATCCTGGGTTGCTTAATATTTGCTTATCGAAACATGAATATTCCACACTTTTCAATGGATTCTTTAACATGCTTTAGATCCAGCATTTCTATTGGACGCCATGTCCTTTCATCAGAAGCTTCACCACCCTCAGTAGCAGGCATATGTTGCACAGACTGAGAAAGCTGATGGTGCTTGCATATCCCCCAAACTCCTGGCGGTGCACCTGGCTGGACTGTAACCCGTTTTCCTGTACTGCCTCCTGCTCTTCTAGGCACCTCTTGCCTCACGCAGGTGCTCTGGGCACCTGGAAGCAAACTGCACGGAGCAGGGCGGGGCAGCAATTTGCCTTCTAACCTAACTTGCTTTTCTATTTCATCTGAGGAAAATGTCTGCTCTCAGATGTCAGGCCTGAACCCTTTTCTCCTTCCACTGGCACTTTTGGCTTTCCAAGCACTTCAACCTCTATTCACAAACTCTCTAGTACATAGACAGCTCTGCAATCCTTTCTAACACCAGAGAATTGAGTGAACCCTGAGTTTTCAGCTTTCCTCCCAACTTTTTTCCACATGGAATATATAAATACTATGAAGCAAAACCAGAAAATCCCTTCTGGGAGCAAGACAAGAATATTTTGCCAAGTAGCCGTATTTTGCCAACCTCCTTAAACAACATTAATAATTTATCAAAACCTGATGATTCCTCCAATATACTTTAAAAGCGAAGTTACCCATTGTGCCTAAGCCACGTTGAGGCCCACTTAGGCTACAGAGACCTTATCAGACATTGGTAGAGGGAGAAGTAAGAGTGTGAGAGTTCGGGTAAGGGAGGAAGGAAGGAAGGAAGGAAGGGAAATTGGAGGGGAAGGACGAGGAAGAGAAAGAAAAGGACTGCAAAGAGGGAGAGATGAGAAAGAGAGCCTAGAAGGACGACGAAGAGATGGAGCGAGGAGTAAGGGGCTAAGAGAGAAGGCTGAAGTCTTCTATGCCTATGCACCCGACCCTGGCAGCAGACCCCAGCCCTTTCTACCCCTTTTGCTAGTGTCCAGTTTCTGTTTAAAAGTTTCCTAGTAGCCCAGAATGGCCTCTTAACTGTGCCCATCCTTCTGCCGGAATAACACGCACTGGCCACCACCCTGGGTGTTGGTATGGGTTCCCATCCCTCTTTACTTGTGAGCGAAGCTGCGCCCGAGGAGGGCATCTACCGTCTTCCCAGAACTTAGGAAGTGATGGCACGCTGAAGTCCTGCTAGCTGCTTGGGTCCAGGCGCCTCTTGAAAGAGGTGGGCGGGTAACGCTGTGGCTGCAGCAGCTCCAACCGCCTAGAATGCACCCCCCAACTCTAGGACGCACTCACCGGTAAACCACTAGAAAGGCAGCTCTCAAGCCCTTTCTAGACCGCGACTGGCCGGGGAACTGCAGACTGCAGCTGATAACTAGTCTTTCTGAAATCAAGAGCACACCCAATAGGGTGGTTTGAGAAGGAGCTTCCGCCACGAGGGCGGTCGACCAATAGGATGGTGGGGGCGGGACCAGACGTCCCCAGGAAGCCAAAGTCTCCGGAAAGGTAGTTAAATTTGCTGAGGTCGGCACACGGGGCAGTGAGTTTGTGCAGGTACAGATGATGTCAGTGAACCTCAATGACCCCGAAGGAAGAAATAGTAAATATGCGGCCTTTCTATCAAATAGCACAAAACCTGTGTTTATGAGGATAGGGAGTTTAAAATCTTTAAAAATCCAGCCCATGACAGGAGGCGGTGGCACAAGCCTTTGATCCCAGCACTCAGAAGGTAGAGGGGGGTCTGAGTTTGAAAATACAAAACAAGCCAAGAGCCCAGCAAAGCAAGATCTTTATTTGAATTAGGCAGCTCAAACTGACTAGTCAGGAACAACACCACACAGACTTGGAAGCTGACCACATCTTCGAGAGTTCATAAATAGATGACAAAAATTCATTATATTCAGGCCGTTACTGATCCGTTAGGGCCCAGAACAGACTCAGCTTAACTGTGACCCTGAGCTAGAATATCACGGAGTTTTTATGCCTGGAATCCATAAACATTTGTGCCAAGTCACAGTTAGGTTTTCCCATCAATCAGGATTTAGGGATAGGGGACTTCCTTAGGAACACGTTTTTGTGGTTCACTCATCGGTTCCCATTGGTTGGTTTACTGAACTGAGGTGGGGAGGCTTGTGCTCCAGCACACCCTGCCAGTCCAAGCGTTTTCATCCTCCCTACCCAGTAAAGATTTTGTTTGCACAAAGGCTTACTGCTTTAAGAATTTGATGGCGTGTGGCACTGCCGGTTTCCCTTTCCTCCATTTCATGTTCTTTTTAGACTAGCCAAGAAGGACACCCTAGCCACTGGGAAAAACCACAGCCACCAACTGAGCGCAAATAAACAAATACACTTCTTGTCTCCCATCGTGCTCATTTATCCGAAGCCTTGAACTCACAGACATCCCCCTGCCTCTGCCTCCCCAGGGCTGGGATTACAGGTATGCCCCACTGTCACCCGGCTAACAGAACTTAAGAGTGTTAAACTGTGCTTAAGGCACAATGGATGTAGCTTTCCATTTTTAATTTTTATAGCTTGGGGTATTATTTTTCTCTCTCTCTCTTTTTTTTTTTTTTTTTTTTTGAGATGGTGTCTCAGGTTGGTCTGGAATTCACTATGAAGCTAAGGTCATGTCATGTAACTCATGGACACCTCCTGAATGCTGGCATTGTAGCAACACACAACGACACTTCGTGGCTTCTTTTTCCTCTTCATTTTCTCTTGGAGACTGGGTCTCATTATGTAGCCCCAGCTGGCCTGGAACTCAAATATTCACCTGTCTCTGCTTCCTGAGTGTAGGGTTTAAAGGCTTGTACCACCACATCCAGCCTTATATTTAGCTTCTTTTAAAAAATATTTGTGTGTGTGTTTGAATGTTTTGCCTGCATATGTGTATGTGTACCATGTGCATGCCTAGTGCCCACAGAGACCACCATGTAGACGCTGGGGACCAGAAAGTACTCAGGAAGAGCAACAAGTCCTTCGAACACTGAGCTAGCTCAGCTACAGGGCTACGTAGACAAGCCTCTCCAAAAGAAGAAAAGAAAACTATTTGTTGTAGGACTTCTCAGCTACACTTGACAAAACCATCATTATCCTCTGCTATATTTGAAGCCTTTTATTTGAAGTATTGGAAAATAGTCCTTACAGATTTTTTTTAGTTAAATATTGCCTCTCTGTTTATCTGTGTAAGAGTGCAAATGCCTGTGGTAGTCAGAAGAGGGTGTGAGATACCCTGAAGCTGGAATTACAGGTGACTGTTAACTGCTTGACATGGTTGCTGGCAACTGAATTCAGGTCTTCTAAGAGAAGTCATTCTCTGGACCACTGAGCTACTTCACTAGAGTTTCCCATCCCCACTGCAGTTGTTGTTGTTATTATTATTATTATTATTATTATTATTATTATTATTATTATTTGAGATAGGGTTTATCTGTGTAGCGCTGGCTTTCCTGGAACTTTATGTAGACCAGGCTGGCCTCACACTAAAAGATTTGCCTGCTTTTGCCTCCCATTAAAGGCCCGTGCCACCTGGCTTCACTATGTTTTTTTACCCTGAGAAATATTTGAGTCAGCTGAACACACAGGCTTATGATTTTCACCCCATAAAGGGCAAATATTTCAACTGTATGTTATGGAGAAAGCTGTATATTTATGTGACTAAGAGGGTGGAGACACAGCTCATCAATAAGAGAGCTTACATGCTTACACATACACAGAGTAGAAACATCTTGGTAAAGGTAAAGGAAAACACGAAAACGCTGTTGGAATTTGCAAGAGTACAAATATACTTATGTAAAATATGGAACCTTATTGCCTTAAATATGAAGTATTTTCATGGCTCAAGTGCCCCATTCCTCATAAAAGCTACTGGTCTCAAGAATAAAGACTATCAGCAGGGTGTGGTGATGCAGGGTGTGGTGATGCACGCCTGTAATCCCAGCACTCAAGGAGGCAGAGGTAGGTGGATCTCTATGAGTTCAAGGACAGCCTGGTCTACAAAATGGGTCTAGGACAGCCAAGGCTACACAGGGAAACCCTATCTTGGAAAACAAAAAGGAGAAGGAAAAGAAGGAAAGAAAGAGAGAGAGAAGAAAGAAAGAAGAAAAGAAAAGCAAAGAGAAGAGAAGAGAAATGGCTCAGAGATTAAGAGGGCTGGCTGTTCTTCCAAACGTCCTGAATTCAAGTCCCAGCAACTGCATGGTGGCTTACAACCATCTATAGTGAAATCTGATGCCCACTTCTGGAATGCAGGCACACATGCAGGATGAACACTGTATAAATAAATAAATCTTTAAAAAAAAAAAAGATATATATATATATAGCTTAGGACACAATATGCAATACACACTTACAGACTTATTCTAGCTAACTACCCTAATAACTGAACGGTAACAAGTAAAAAAGGGCCAAGGTCTTTTACCTCTGAAACACCCACCTCATGCCAAATAAACTGAGGAATGGCTATCAAATGCCATACGTTTGGCAGGAAAGTCTGAAGAGACCTGTGTTTTCATTTTCTCTGCATCTGCTTCTTTGTAAAACAACCGCTGAGATAACACTGCAATGTAAACTAGGAGGGAAATGTGGCTGAAGCTTTTCCTATGTACAAACGAAACAAAATCCCAAACCCCCAAAGCAAGAGTCTCTTTCCTGGGTGAATTTCCAGATGGGAAATAAGGCTATAAACTGCATCTGCTGATGTTGCTCCTCAGTTGACAGAAAATATTCTGCAACAGGAACTGTTTTTTTGTTTGTTTGTTTTTTAAATAGTCAAGACACTTGTAGAGTTTCTCTTTGGTATAAACAACCAGATGCTGAGGAAGATGTTTCCTGTGACAAAAGATTTCCCTCAGTGGTTACATTCAAGAAGTCTTTTCTTTGGAGGAGTTCTCAGAAGGTCACTGAGGTGTGCGTGGTTGTAAAAGGTCTTTCCTCATTTGACACACAGGTAGTATTTCTGCCACTGTGCATTTTTTGATGCTGAGTGAGGCATGAGCTGCGGCTGAAGGCCTTCCCACACTCACTGCATTCATAGGGCTTCTCCCCAGTGTGGATGACGGCATGGCAAATGAGGTTTGTGCTGCAGCAGAAGGACATCCCACACTCAATACATTCAAAAGGCTTTTCCCCACTATGAATTCGTTTGTGCCTCTAAGACCTGACATGCGGGCAAAGGCCTTCCCACACTCTATGCACTCGTAGGGTTTTTCCCCAGTGTGGATGCTGAAATGACGAACGAGGTCTTTCCGATTGGTAAAGGCTTTGCCACACTCTGCACTCAAAGGGTTTCTCTCCAGTGTGGGCCCTTTTATGCAGGGTGAACGTAGAGCAGTGGGTGAAGGCTTTGCCACACTCACTGCACACATAAGGCTTCTCCCCGGTGTGAATGCGCTGGTACCTCAAGGTACGACCTGTGGTTGAAGGCTTTGCCACAGTCAGGGCACACTGGGCTTCTCCCCGGTGTGGATCACATAGTGGTGGATCAGGGCTGCACTCTCAAAGAAGACTTTCCCACACTCACTGCACTCATAGGGCTTCTTTCCTGTGTGTGTCTGCTGGTGCCACAGGAGGTTTGATCTGTGTTTGAAGACCTGTCCACACTCAAAGCACTCATATGGGTTCTCTCCACCATGAATGATGTAGTGTCTAAGGAAGCCTCCCCTATGTCGAAAGACCTGTCCACATTCTGTACACACAAAAGATTTCTCTCCAGTATGTCTCCTGCTATGCAAGACAAAATTGGAGCGGTGGGTGAAGGACTTCCCACATTCACTGCACTGATATGGCCTCTCCCCGCTGTGGATTCGCTGGTGCTGGGTGAGGTATGACCTGCGGTTGAAGGCCTTCCCACATTCCAGGCATTCATGGGGTCTTTCTCCTGTGTGGGTCATCTGGTGCTGAAGGAGATGAGTACTCTTTATGAAGGTCTTCCCACACTATGTACACTCACAGGGCTTCACTCCAGAGTGGATGTTCTCATGTCCAGCAAGGAGGTGTCTCTTATTGAAAACCTTCCCACACTCACTGCATCTGAAGATACTTCCCTCTTCCTCATGTCTGAGCACTGGACGCACTTCTTCAGCTGTCCCTCCAGCACCCTGTACAGGACTCATTTTCCCAGGGAGCTTCTCCCCCAGGCCTCCATCTCTTGTCTGAAGAGTCTTTTCTGAACTTTTGATGGACCATCATGGTCTTTGCTTTGCACCCACTCCATGTCTCCTGGGGTTCTTATTCTCCCCAGAATAAGGTTCCCTCAGGCAGTTTTGGCTTACAAGCGGTAGGTCCTATGGCTTTGGTGTTTCCACTGACACCTAAAACAAATTCAACACACAAGAGGGACTGTTAGTAAAGACAACATAGAAAAAACAAAACCATTATGCTATTAAAAATATATTCACCAAGAAGCTAAAAATAGTACCTTTATGCCTGCTATGTTATCTCCAAAGCCTAGGTTAGCAAATCTTGTTTTGTTTGTTTTTAAGACAAGGTTTCTCTGTGTAGCCCTAGTTGTCCTGAAACTCAAACTGTAGACCAAACTGGCCTCAAACTCGGAGATTTGCCTACCTCTGCCTCCCAAGTGCTGGGATTAAAGGCCTGCCTCTTTTTTTCTCCTGGTCCTTGGACTCTAAATACTGTGAAAAGGAGATGTTGGTGACAGACTGGATCAAGGTAGAGGAGGGCCTTTCAAGGAATTGTTTTAATAATTTCAGGCTGGCTGTAGCTAGGCAGAGTAAAGCAGACACCCTGAAGTAAAACTCCTGTAGGTAATGGCCTAATACTGTCCCCTGGAAGACATGGACTACCTGGTGAGAAAGAAAGCACCCACAGGGAGCCTCAGTTTTGGTTCAGCATCATAGGAAATAACCTTCAAGTACCAGAGGTATCCAGAATTCCTTTTAAAATTCGTTATGGGTTCCTATCATTAAAACTAGTTAAGTATACTTTTTTTTTTCCTTCCCCAAATAGCTAATTCATTTCTGGCCCACCAGCAATTAACAAAAAAAAAAAAAAAAAAAAAAAAAAAAAAAAAAAAAAAACC